TTGACTGCGGCTGGTAGGTAGCAAAAAACAGCTCTCCGTTCAGCCACAGCTCTGTAGGCTTGAGCTCAGCCTGTCATTGTTTTGTAATAATACCTAGTTGTATTTATTGAGCATTTATGCTATGCCAGGCACTGTGCCCAGTGCTTTGAGAAGGTGATCTCGTTTAATCCTCATAACAGTCCTACAGGGAGGAGGGTGTCATTGTTATCCTGCATTTCTAGCTAAGAAAAAAAAAAACAAACTGAGGCTCAGAAGTTTGGTAACAAGCCAACATTTCACAGCTAGGAAGGTGTGGAGCCAGAGTTTGAAAGGCCTCCAGGATTCTCCTTCTCCCCACCATAACCTTGCTTCATAGTTGGGAGAGCAACTTCCCAGTCGCCTTTGGCTTGGTTTGGACATTCTCAGTTTGCCTGTTCCCTCCCCAAGATACTCTCACCCAGACACCAACTGTAGGATGGAAGGGTAAAAGGAGCACAGGGATGGTACCCTTCATGCGAACCCTCCTTCACTATAGTCGTGGTGAAGAAAACACTTTCAGATTCAAAGGCTTTAGGCATGGTGGCTCACGTCTGTAATCCCAGCACTTTGGGAGGCCAAAGTGGGAGGATCACTTGAGGCCAGGAGTTTGAGACCAGCCTGGGCAACATAGTGAGACCCTTACAAAAAATTTAAAAATTAGACAAGCCTGGAAATGCCCACCTGTAGCTCCAGCTACTCAGGAGGCTGAGGCAGGCAGATCACGTGAGCTCAGGAGTTATAGGTTGCAGTGAGCTGGGGACACAACTCTACTCCAGCCTGGGCAGCAGGGAGAGATCTTGTCTCCAAAACAAATAAAAAAAGAAAAGAAAACTTCAAAGGACCAGGAACCACCCTACACTGACTGCCACCCCACTGAATGCAGACACTTGCCCAGTTTCTGTCCTTCTACACAAGGAGGGCTTGGGACCTGCCACGGGGGTTGGCCAGCAGACTCATTTGGGCCAGGCCTTTAGACTTTTGAGGTTTTTCTCTAAATGAGCATATATTTAACATCATTGTCATTCTTCTTTTCCCTTCTCACCTTTCTTCCTCCTCTTCTTGCTCTTTGAATGCTAAGAGCATTTACATTATTTTATGTCAAGATTTTATTTTATTTATTTTTATTTTTGAGACAGAGTCTCACTTTGTTGCCCAGGCTAGAGTGTGTGCTGTGGCATCAGCCTAGCTCATAGCAACCTCAAACTCCTGGGCTCAAGCGATCCTCCTGCCTCAGCCTCCCGAGTAGCTGGGACTACAGACACATGCCACCATGCCCGGCTAATTTTTTTTTTTTTTGAGACAGAGTCTCGCTTGTTGACCAGGCTAGAGTGAGTGCCGTGGCGTCAGCCTAGCTCACAGCAACCTCAGACTCCTGGGCTCAAGCAATCCTTCTGCCTCAGCCTCCCGAGTAGCTGGGACTACAGGCATGCGCCACCATGCCCGGCTAATTTTCTATATATATTAGTTGGCCAATTAATTTCTTTCTATTTTTTTATAGTAGAGACGGGGTCTTGCTCTTGCTCAGGCTGGTTTTGAACTCCTGACCTCGAGCAATCCGCCCACCTCAGCCTCCCAGAGTGCTAGGATTACAGGCGTGAGCCACCACGCCCGGCTTCAGCTAATTTTTTTTCTCTCTCTCTCTATATATATATATTAGTTGGCCAATTAATTTCTTTTCTATTTATAGTAGAGATGAGGTCTCGCTCTTGCTCAGGCTGGTTTCGAACTCCTGACCTCGAGTAATCCGCCCGCCTCGGCCTCCCAGAGTGCTAGGATTACAGGCGTGAGCCACCGCGCCCGGCCTATGTGAAGATTTTAAATATGCCTATGTCATAGTGCCATTTTGGTATTTTTCATGTTTTTAAAAAAATATATGGGAGCCTTTAAAACCTGGGAGTGTCCTGGACCGCTGAGAAGGCCCACTTCCTCTCTGGTGCGAGGGGAAGGCCCCAGGGTCTTGTATTTCATTCCCTGGGTGCTGAGAATTCTCTCCGGTGCCCCGGAGGACTCTGAAGCTGGTGCAACACCCTAACAAGAAGAAAACTCTCGGATAATTCTGATTTCACTATCTGCGGAAGGCCTGATAGAAGATGAACTGAAAGGTATCAGTGTGTATTTGTTTGTGTATTTGTTTGTTTTGCCATATGTCCAATCCAAATTAGCACTGGCTGTGGATCAGTAACTATTACAAATTGCTGCTGCAGGGCCCAGCTGACAGGTAACACTTCTCAGCTGCAACCTTCCCCCCAAAACCTTCAGCAGCCCTGCAGCTATTAATTCTATCCTGCAGCTGTGTTACCGCAATCCAAACCAGTGGGTGAAAAAAGAAATAAACTTCATGCCTCTGAAAAAAAAAAAAATCACCATTTTATTAATCAGTCAAACAAGATTGCTTCCTAACCAAGGATCTGATCTGCTGTTTTAATAATTCCAAGTGTTCTAAGGAAGACCGCTGCTCTTTTTAAAAGACTGCTGTAACTTCAGGCACTTGTGACAAAACCTGGGTGAATTATTAGACAATTTCATGCTGGTTTGCAGAGTGATTAAAACAAGTGGCCTTGAATGATAGCATATGTTATAAAGAGATGGAGCCTTTCAGTTATAAAAGATGTATCAATCAGGGGAAAGCAAATACAAATTAAAGTTTGATGAGCAATTGGATATTAATTGGTACTAACTCTGCTTTTTATGTCACTTTGATGTGGAGTGGATCATAAACATGGTAAGCGATACTAATAATGTATATTCACTTCAATACAACTTTATGACTCCATTTATTAAAAAAACCAATATTGAGATTGAGTTGTGAGTGCACTGGTGTGCACTTTTCCTATTGTATACCTTCATCTAACTCTTGCCATGCAGGCTCTCAGCCACAACCTGAAGGATACATTGCAGTTGGTTAGACATGCAAGAGTCATTGCCTAGTTTTTTCTTTATGCATCAATGCTTTTATGCATTTATGCTTATCTAAACATAAATTTTAAATTATAGTAAAAATGAACGTAACAGCAAATTAAGGCTTTATATTTTTTCTAGAGTTTTTTTTTTTTACAAGTTGCCTGCTCTTTTCTGAATTTAGACAGTAGTCTCAAGGGAAGGAATGTCATCTTGACGTCATTAAATGGACACCAAATAGACATTGTAGTGTAGACCTATAAAAAGCCATGTTCTGTGCCAAATATAACCCAAAACGTTTTATCTCAAATATAAAAGTAATTTTTTCCAATTGTAAAAATACAAAGGTGATACATGATCACTAATAAAAGAAGAAAAAAAACCTATTTTTTCTAAAAATTAAAATGAGAGCTTGCTGGATAATCAGTTTTACATGGCTTTTCTCCTTTAACAATCCATTTGGACATTTGAAAAAATTTTATATTACCTGGATTCACAGCCCATTTCTGCCATTTCTTCTCTGTGTGATCCTGGGCAAATCACTTAATCTCTCTGTGCTTTAATTTTCTCATCTGTAAAATGGGCATAATAATATGTACCTTAAGGATCATAAATCGTAAAACCAAATGAGACTTTAAAAAAAACAGTAAAACTATTATTTAACACTTAGCACCATGACTGACATGTCTTCAAAAAAATAGGTATTTTTATTATGACAATGTCATTTATAATGGGTGGGGGTCTATTTGATTGTATCACCCGCCTATAATTTATTTAATCACCTTGCTTTTGCTGGTGTTTCAGGTTGACACCAACATTTCTCATTACTACCTGGCGTTGTTACCTTGGGGTAAATCTTCAGGTGCCTGCGTGGCTAAGAAAACGTTTAAGAAATACAGCCTCTCTCTCCTGCAACGGTTGCCATTACTTGGAGTTTTAGCACAGCCATAGGGGAGCTAGCACTACATTTGAGGCTCCCACTTCTGTGTAACAAATTTATTCCACTCGTTTAGTTTGTTGTTTTCTTTTTAGACCAACCACAGTTTGCCTTTGTTTGGGTAAAATGTAGCCTAGTTTACAGCTAGGCTGAATACTTTCTTGAGGTCTTTGGAAAGACCAAGAGGATATTTTGTTGCTATTAGGGAAATAAGCTGGTTCCAACACCCCGGGTGTTGGAACCAGCCAAACACTGACTTGCAATTGAGTTTTTTCTTTTCATATGAGGAAACCTAACTATTAATTAGGCTAAAGCCCTCAGGGAAGTATTTCACTGGGCTATTTGCCTCAGAACCTGTATTTTTATTGTCTGGCCATTAATTGGAACAGATTATTTTAAAGGGATGTATATTAATAAATAGCAAAGGTGGGAACCAAAAACTAAAGCAGGGCAAGGGTTCCACTGTGTGTGTGTGTGTGTGTGTGTGTGTGTGTGTGTGTGTATATACACATATATATAAGGTCAGAGGATACCCCCAGCAGCCAATGAACGGAGGAAGCAAAGGGAGGATGTTAAGTGTAGGAATTGGAGGGACAGTTGTGTTTTAGATCTGTTTGGTTAAAAGGCAGGTTTGTGCAGAGAATTAGAGAAACGGATTGTAGGACAGACACCTTGTGATATAAGGCCCTTCACAAACAAAAGACATGTGTTGCATATCAGTAAAATAGATTTTCTTTTATTGCCACCGAGGGACTCAGATGTCATAATTTTCCCTCAAAAGTAAATGGCTTATTTTCAAAACAGGCTGAGAGTCCCTGCTCCTTATATCTGTTCTTAATTCAAGAAATATATCTAACTGTATTCTAACAAGAGTCACTCTCAGAAGAAATTAATGAGGAACATCCATTAATTATTTATGCCCTGAAACAGTAGGTCTGCTAATGTTTCTGCTAATCACCAAAGCTAAACAGATGTATCTTCATAAAGACATTCTTGAAGAATAGAATGAGTATGAAAGAGGCACAAGTAGAAAAAATATGTATATATACAGCAATGGCAGGAAATAATAATAGTGAATGCATGACTGCCCCCAAGACAATATTTGTTTAAACTGCAAGGCACAGTAAAATTGTCAGAGAGAGTTCTATTCCTGATTTCTAATATTTAAATATTATATTAAGCAATAATAATAGGAGTTGAATTTGTGGGAACTTAAACTAATGCTTCGGAATGAAGAGAATTAGACTCCTTTTTAAAACAGCATTTAGGTAGCTGCCCGATTCCCATAAACATTCTAAAAGGAGCTTCTTTCATGGGTGTTAAATAAATGGCAAGGTTGTCAATTTTTAAATCGTCATACACAAATCCAAAATGATTCAAACCTTCATTTTTGCCTTCATCCAAATTTGATCAGAATAAAATCTGTTGGCCCCTTTTTCTGAGATGCATAGAGGTTGTTAACACAGCCCCCAGTAAGGTGGGGCTATTTCTGAAAGCCAGACCACCTGGGTTTAGATCTTGGCTCTACCACTTACCAGCTTGGTAGTAACTTGGGCAAGTTAACCTCTCAGTACGTCAATTTCCCTATTGGCAAAAATCAGAGTACCCACCTCAAAAAGTTATAAAATGAGTTTTTAGAACAGCCCAAAACATGTGCTTAGTTTATGTGAGTTGCTATTATTATTATCAAGATAGCCTCACCGTGGTGAATCTAAAAGAATGACGGCCCTGGCATTTTACATGAAATTCACAAGCTGTGCAGCTGCAGCATTCAGGATGGAATGATGGTGGCGGGCTCCGCATTGCCTCCTAACTCATATTCCCCGACCTGAGGATGTTTCTCTCACGGTTCTTTGGGCAGGACACAATTCCCGTCGCGTTCTGAGGAAGGTTTGCAGGATGGTTGGTACCAGCGTGATGACTGGAATGGGGGCCACAGGGGACGTGGTTTGCTAACCTTGTCCTTTTCAGTGTTGTGCCCCGGCCCCCACTGGTGACTGGGGCACTTGCCACACTCAGATTTTGTATCCAAGTTGTCAAGGGTGTATGTCCTTACCCCTTTTGGGGAAGGTCACCTATGTCCTGCCTGCTGTATTGTGTGTCATCAGTATATGGAGTGATCCTAGGAAGCACTTCCCATGACAGAATCACTTGGGGGAAGTTTGAATATGGGCACAGGCACACACACACATGTACACGTACTGTGTGCGTGTGTGCCTGTGTACTCAAGCCCCTCTCTAGGACTACTGAATTAGGGACCCAGTAACCTGAATTTTTAGAAAAGTTCCCTAGGAACTCTCTGGCTCGTAGTCTGATGTCAGAGCTACTGTTCCAAGGCAGTGATTCTCAACATCCCGTGTCAGGGCACACTTGATCTAAAAAGTGTCCAACCTTTGTGAAGGATCCGCTGTCACAGAATAGGGTAGATTTAAGGCTAGCCCTCCATGGAAGTCACTCTCCCTCTCTCGAATTCCCTACTGCCGTCTTGCATGGGGAAGAGGGAGCGCTATTGCCACTCCTGAACTGGCATCCTGTCTGATCTCCCCAGGAGTCTGCATGACTGATGCCACTGATGGGCTGTTAATAAAGGCGGTTGAAATACTGCTTCACTTACCAGAAGAATACAGGTGGACCGGTGGTATCTTCAATAGCTTGTCAGGACAATGCACTGCTCATGTGATCCTACCAGACACACCGATGGGGGCAAGGCAGGACCCTGCTCTAGTCTAGTCTGACAAATGGCATATTCTACTGTGAGCTGGAATGACTGTCTCACCTTTCAAGCTAGACCCCCTCACTGCCATGGGCCCTCCCTCACCCCACAATCAACCTTTCCGTAGCGCCCCTGTATGCTTTCCTCCCCGTGCCTGCTCAACTGGGATGACCTCAGTTGCCAACTTATAGGAGGCTATAGAGGAAATAAAGACATGAAACAACACAAGAACAATGGATGGCTTTCAGTAGCATCCTCCATCTGTTTTCCACCCACCCCCATGAACATACCCATTTAGCATCAATGATTCCAGAAGCAGTTGTTAGGTTGTGAAATTAAATTAGAAAAACCACAAGGAGAAGAGAGCCTACGACAGAAAACCAAGCTCCCTGGAAGTGGCACTTTAGCTCATTTGTCCAAATGTGGGCTGGCAAAGCCCACATGCCATTAGCTGTACTAACAAAACCAAACCCAACGTGCAGCCAAAGCTTTCTGTGTCACTTCTATGTTTTATTAAACACCACGACCTGTCAGGCCATGTAACTGGCACTGTTTTCTGTGTAAGACCAACCGAATTCCAAGAGCTGCTCTGCTGCATGGCAACATTGTATTTAGGTCTTTCTACTCACAATGGTCACGCTTCTGTCTCCCTAACTCACAGTACGTGCTTATTTGCTGTATGGTCTATAAAAACACATAAGCTCTCACAGAGCAGAAAGCAATTAATCTGAAGGGGAATCACAAACACTTTATAAACCACAAAAATGGAAAAAGGTTGAGTGAAGAGCTAAGTATTTTGATGACTACCAAAACTGGTGATACTTATGTGTTTTGTGCCACATGGCAGCAAAACTTTCTGATTTGCCTATGCATGTATTCAAAGTGCTGATTTCTGGACTTGTTAATTGATCTTCACAAACTTATGCTTGAGTATTTTTACTCTAGGACAGATACACTATCACCTTTAAAAAGCAACATCCAGAATCGCACCATGATTACTAAAATATCTGCAAGGTGTTTTAAATAACAATTAAACCAGCTAGTGGGAGAAAGGAAAACAAATTAAACAGCTATTCCAGAATTTCTCTTGTTCCCAGTGTTGCCAGCTGAGGATTGTTTGGAAAAAGGAGATAGTTCTCATAAAAAACTGAGCTACTAAGGTTATGCAAAGTCAGCATGTATAGGGAATCCCCAAAGGAGCTTCCTCTGTGCTTATCGGAGAATTGAATATACTCCTGAAACAAATGTGCAGATAACATGCATTTGTTCCTGACATGATGCAGGGAGTGTGATAAGTTCTTCAAAAATTCTGTTCTCTAGACCTAGACATTCAAAAAAAAAAAAAAAAGAAAGAAAAAAATAAATAAAAATTCTGTAACTTGGTTTTCAGTATTACTACCAATACATGAATTTCCTACATGAAAGCCGAAACTTCCACGTAACTTGTGATCTCATAGTGGAAAGTACTCTTTTTTTTTTTTTTTTTTTTTTTTGAGACAGAGTCTCATCTTGTTGCCCAGGCTAAGTGAGTGCCGTGGCGTCAGCCTAGCTCACAGAGACCTCAATCTCCTGGGCTCAAGCAATCCTCCTGCCTCAGCCTCCCAAGTAGCTGGGACTACAGGCATGTGCCACCATGCCTGGCTAATTTTTTCTCTATATATACTAGTTGGCCAATTAGTTTCTTTCTATTTATAGTAGATAAATAGAAAGGGGTCTTAAATAAATAGAAAGGGGTAGATAAATAGAAAGCGGGGTCTCGCTCTCGGTCAGGCTGGTTTCGAACTCCTGACCTTGAGCAATCCGCCCGCCTCGGCCTCCCAGAGTGCTAGGATTACAGGTGAGCGCCACCGCGCCCGGCCTGGAAAGTACTCTTAACATTGTAAAGGTTTGAATGATCACATAATGTTTAGGTTTGCTGCTTGAAAAAAAAGTGTGTCGGTTATGAGGCAGGCTTATTTTTTTTCTGCATGTGCTTCCCCTTTTGGGTTACAGTGTGGTGCTAGAATGGAATCCACAAATACTATCGATTATCAAAAACTGCATACCTGCTATCCTGTTTTGATTTTAAATTTGAAGAACGACTTTGCCTCTGGCTTCTGGGTGGTCACAGTAAGCTGATCACTCCAACAATAGAAAGAAGCAGGCAGAAAATGAAGAGGGACCACCTGTGAGTGAAGCAGTGTTCCTGGCCAAGGGAACCTGTACTGCCACACCTTTCTTTCTTCCTAAGGGGAATTCTTTGCTACTGGGAATGGGTTTAAAAAAAAAAAAAAAGGATTAGAGTTCTATGAATACAGATGATATCCTAAGGAAGTGTAAAATAAACACAGTCTTACAGAAGAAAAAGTCTCCTCTGGTCACTTTCATGGCGTGGATGTTAGACATGAGGAGAGGAAAGAAAGCATCATAAAGATTCATCATTTCCAGGCAAAAATGTGTATTTTCCATTCGAGTGTCTAAAACATCTTTATCTTCCAGGATGCTCAATAAATCAACACATTCGCTTAAATGGTCACGAGAGAACCCACTAAAAAAGAGGAAATGTTGGATAGTTTTAATAACACGATTCTTTCCACAGCGTGTATTGTTTGGATGATAATTTTATAAAAGTTACAAGGTGGAGGAAATGACAGCTTGCTTTTAAGTATTTTTCTGCCTTTTATCCAGAAAAACAAAAATCCATGATCTGTGAAGTTATTTCACATATTTTGTATTAATGATCTATCTATTGAATAGCCATTCTAGTGTTCCCCCAAACAAATCTATTCTCTATGCAAAATAAGTTTTCTATTTTGTTTTCCTTTGGCCACACCCTAAAGCATAATTCACTGGCCACCTTTTACAGTATATGTATATGCACTTTACAAAGAAAAATCTCACTTTACAAAACTTAAAGATTCACACTATAAGATTTATCAGGCTGGGCCAGGCGCAGTGGCTCACACCTGTAATCCTAGCACTCTGGGAGGCCGAGGAGGGCGGATTGCTCGAGGTCAGGAGTTGGAAACCAGCCTGAGCAAGAGCGAGACCCCGTCTCTACTATAAATGGAAAGAAATTAATTGGCCAACTAATATATATAGAAAAAATTAGCCGGGCATGGTGGCGTATGCTTGTAGTCCCAGCTACTCGGAAGGCTGAGGCGGAAGGACTGCTTGAGCCCAGGAGTTTGAGGTTGCTGTGAGCTAGGCTGATGCCATGGCACTCACTCTAGCCTGGGCAACAAAGTGAGACTCTGTCTCAAAAAAAAAAAAAAGATTTATCAGGCTGGAACAGATCTTATGACACAACAGAACAGCTGGTAACGGTGACTCTGAAGTATGACTCTATTAAATACCCAGGTCAAAGAGCTCAATACTAGGGAAACATTTATGCTTTTAAAATGTTGTATAAGGAAAACTGGCAAGAGAGGATTCCAGTCATGAAAGTGAGCCCCTTCTACCAGCTTTGCTAAGTAACTCTTAAGACTGTCAAACATACCATATTTGGCTTACCTCATGACTACACGTAATGTCCATTTATAATTGCTAAGGATTAGAGAGTGTCAGTACCTAGAGTCTAGATGTCTTTATTCAGTCGATTATCGTGGTGTACAGCATTAGAGAAGTATAGAGGTGCAAACTCAGGTATGCAGTATTCCCTTCTCTTTTCTCCAGTATTACGAACACATATATTTGAGCAACTCCACAAGGTAAAAAATTCAATCGTACTTGAAAATCACTCCATTTAGACAACTTGATGAAACTTAGATCTGCGAATAGTGATACACATTTCACAAAGACACAGTGGTGTCTCAGGGAATGCTCATTGCAGTCCTGTGAATGTTAAATGGGTTTTAATATTATAATAACCCCTTTATGGTAAACAGTTCTTCAAAAGACTAAGTGATTAATCCCAGCTCACACCGGTAGCCAGAATCTTGATGTAAACATAGTATCAAGCAATGGTTAAAAGCCCTACTTTGACGTCAGACACAACCTGTTTTCAACTCTTGACTTTGCTTTGAGACTATGGAGGACACAACCTCTCTTTGCCTCAGTTTTCCTTTGTACAAAAAAGGAAAAATAATAGTATACCCCAGAGTTGTTGAAAGGATTAAATGTTTAAAAACCACTCAGCACAGTGAGTCATATAATGAGCAATGGAGTGGCAACAATATTATTTTGATCATCGAGGCTGAGGAATGCCCAAGTTGTGGGAAAAGGTCGGTGGGCCCTTGGAGTTCTGCTTGCCATTCCTCTTGCAGATCAAGAATACTGACATTGAAAGTACTGAACGAAAATGGAGCCATGCTTAAAGAAACCAAGACTTAACCAAATACAAGGCAGAGATAGGTTGTTTTTTGTTACCTCTCCTGGTTCTTCAGTCATTTACTCAACAATTATTAAAGGGCTTCTGTGTGCAGAATATTTTCTCCAGTCTCATCTATTATCTTAATTTCTCATTTGTGGCACACACAAAAATCCATCATACTTCTGGGCAAGAATAAGCTGACCCTACTAAAATGTTCAAAACAAGTATCATACAGAATTCACTGTATGATACTTTTCTCCTATTTTAAATGTGCAGATTTTCTTTGGAGTCTGATTCATGTAGGCCACAAAGAAAGGAAAACAGGTGAAACCATTTTCTGTAACCAATTTTGCCACCCTGAGTCTATGAAGCATGAAGCTACTGCCAGCAATAAGCAAAACCTCAAAATGAATAAAAAGGCAATCCTGCTCGGTTGTAAAACAGGAGAGGCAAAATATGCTGTGTAGCTGTTTTTACAGGTGATGTTGAAAGTTTTCTGAATGTGTCTGAATGTAACAGGTTCTACTTTTTTTTCCTGGGTGAGGCCATTTCGGAGAAATTGACAGGTGTCTACCACTCACAAATAGTTTTCCAAAAATCCTAGGAACTCATCACAGAAGCTTTCCATAAAAATAGAGTTCTGGCCGGGCGCTGTGGCTCACGCCTGTAATCCTAGCTCTTGGGAGGCCGAGGCGGGCGGATTGCTCAAGGTCAGGAGTTCAAAACCAGCCTGAGCAAGAGCGAGACCCCGTCTCTACTATAAATAGAAAGAAATTAATTGGCCAACTGATATATATATATAAAATTAGCCGGGCATGGTGGCGCATGCCTGTAGTCCCAGCTACTCGGGAGGCTGAGGCAGAAGGATCACTCAAGTCCAGGAGTTTGAGGTTGCTGTGAGCTAGGCTGACGCCACGGCACTCACTCTAGCCTGGACAACAAAGTGAGACTCTGTCTAAAAAAAAAAAAAAAAAAAATAGAGTTCTTACCTAAGTCCTCACTCTTAAGTAGATTTTAACACTTTACCTCAATCTTTAAAGACTTTTCTATAGTTTTATCTGATTTACCAATAATATTCACTTGAAAACTTAAAACTAAGAGTGGATGAAAATTCTTTGACATACTTGAGTCCTCAGGAGACCACGGAGCACTATTCTATTGAGATGACTCCAAATAACTTTCACATGAATGGCTAAAGTGCAGAAATGTATAATTTATTAGGATTTAAATAAATCAGGGAGAGAAGTGCTTTAAAGGTAGTGGTAAAAAATTTTCAAAATATGAGGAAGTTACAATTCTAAGAAATTAATTTCTATGTATAAAAGCTTCCTTCCCTATCTTCATAAATATGCCAAGGCAAAAATATGTTGACAATACTTTAATAACAACATGCATGCTTTTTAATAGCATTCAATGACAGTAACATTTTTTTAAAACATATGACATAATTTTATTTTTAGGGGAAAACACCTTCCTTAAAACATGTACTACGTTGCCAACAGAATGTTATAATCATTCTGTCTTAGCAATTTCCCTGATACAGTTGTTATACTGGAAATATTCCCTATGGCTACAAAATTTATCAAGAATAAAAAGCTTTCCATTTAAGCTATTAGAACACACCTAGTTTTCTCACGGGCTGTCAAAGAATAAAAAGTTCACTTTCCCCTAAGGCTACTTACATCTTTTCTTCTTTTTTTTCAGATGACAATTAAAACAGTAACAACGATTAGTCAATAAACATTTCTTTTTTCCTTTTTTTGAGACAGTCTTGCTCTGTTGCCCAGGCCAGAGTGCCGTGGCATCAGCCTAGCTCACAGCAACCTCCAACTCTCGGGCTCAAGTGAGCCTCCTGCCTCAGCCTCCTGAGCAGCTGGAACTATAAGCACGTACCACCACACCTGGCTAATTTTTTTCTATTTTTAGTTGCTGGGCTAATATTTTCTATTTTTTTTAGTAGAGATGGAGGTCTCACTCTTGCTGAGGCTGGTCTCGAACTCCTGAGCTCAAGGGATCCTCCCACCTCGGCCTCCCACAGTGCTAGGATTACAGGTTTGAGCCATGGCCAATAAAAATTTCCTAGTTGCCAAAATAGCAAACATTAGAAATCCACAAAGATTTGGAATGACCTTACTGAAATAAGAAATCTAAACACGTAGAAATCAAATAACTCCATAAGCAGAACAATAACATTAACATTGGTTTTATTCGCTGAGAATATATTTTTAAAAAATCTATGGCATAAACATAACTATAAATGAACACTGCTATTCTCAGCACTTTCGCTCTACAAAATTCAGTATACTATATGAAAACATCATTAAATTAAAGCATGTAAACTTACTTATGTACAACATGATTTTTTTAAAGCCAAGGTTAAAAGGAAGAAGGCACCAGAAATATTGAAAAACATACAGAAGCAAGGTAGAAGAAATACTGCAAGATTATCATAATTTAGTTTGTCACAGGGAAAATATTTAAGATAAAATTGAAAATAAAATAAACATAGGTTATGATACAGCCAAATTATTGTGAAATGTTATCAAAGTGGCTGGCTGTACATTATGGAGGTCACAGAAAATTATTACTTCAAAATGTTTCCCCACAAATTAGCATAAGTAAGCACTGTTCTCTATGGTTTCCAATATGCTACCTAAAAACACGGTGTTGCTCCCCAAGGGAGTCTGGCCAATACAAGGCAGATGAGACAGATGGAGCCAGAATGGCAGTGTTTGACAGACATTAATAAAAAAGACCAGTGACATTCTACAAAGTTGCAATATTCCATTTTATTAGAAGCAGTAGAGCACAGAGGTTAAGAACACGAGCTCTGGAGTCAGACTTGTGTTCAAATCCTTATCCCCCCAATACAGGTTGTGCAACCTCGGGGAAGCCCCTTAATCCCTCCAAAAGTGTTTTCAAAGCTTAACAGGGAGCACCTCCCTCAAAGGCTGTTGTAATCACAAAACGATAGGCAAACTACTTAGCCCACCACCTCAATCACAGCTTGCATTCAACACATGCCAGCTATTTTTTTTTTTTTAAAGTGAGTTTGAAATTATAAACCAGTTTAATTGAAAATACTTGCTTGGTATCATGGTATTATATGAAAGTTAGGTTTTATTGCTTAAGGAATCCCAAAAGGAAAGTACCTGGACAAGAGGGTAGAAATATGGAAATGTACAAGGAACTTATGTTTCTATGGTTAGTGCTGATTTCATTACTTTGCAGAC